TAGCATTATCTTTTCTTGTATTTGCTAAAGATCTGTGTGTAACCAAAGGTTGTTTAGATAGGTTTTCTTTACCTTATCTTTCCGCAAACAATCTTCTAAAATCTGTATTGATCTTCTCTATCAATATATATTTTAAATTTGAAAACTCTGTGTTTGTATTCATCCCCCCTTCGACAAACTGTGTCTTATCTTGTAGACCCTTTCGGGACCAACAAGTGGTATCAGAGCAGTGTTTTCTCTCTTTACTTGCGTTTTGTTGTTTTGTTATTTTGTTGTATTAATTTATCTCTTCTTATATAACTTACTGCTTTCAAATGGCTTTACAAATTACAAACACACACACACAAGACAATGACTCTCTTGCCAAACCTCCCCGGTTTGTCCGTGACAACTTTTGTCTCTGGAAGAACCGGATGTCCCTCTTTCTGGAAGGTGTGGATCCTGAAATTCCACAGTATATAGAAAATGGACCATATATTCCATTTGCTATTGTTCCGGCTGTTCCAGCAACAGCTACGACTGTCGCGATTCCTGAACGGCAGATTCCAAAACTTCCACATCAGTGGAGTGATGAGGACAAGAAGAAAATAGCTATACACACGCGTGCTCAGTCTATAATAGCTATGTCTCTTCCTGATGAGATTTATCACTCTGTGATGAAACTCAAATCTTCTAAATCCGTATAGGATACTCTACGTGTCCAATATGAAGGAACCACTCAGGTTCAGGAGACTAGAAAGATCAATCTAGTAAAACAGTATGAAAGCTTTCTCTATGGAAAGTCCGAGACACTGTCTGAAGTACATCAACGTTTTAATTGCCTTCTTATTGATCTTAGGGCTGTAGACAAGGAATATTCTAATTCTGAAACCTTGACTAAGTTTCAAGAATGTCTTCCTGAGTCTTGGGACACCTTTTCCATGTGTCTTAAGATGTCAAATGACATGTCCACTCTTTCTCTTTCGTCTTTATACGGGATTCTGCTTAACCATGAGCAATCTCATAAACTGAAAAGGAATCTTATAAACAATCCCGGGAAATGAAAAACTCTCCTTTAGCTTTGATCTCTGAATCTTCTTCAGTTGATACTTCTACTCCTTTTGTTTCTTGTCTTCCTCCCGTGGTCATCACGGAGATGGACTCTTCTGAGGACATTCCAGAATCTGTTTTAACATATTTTGATGAGTCCTTGGCACTCATAACTAAGTCATTTAGGAGGTTCGCCAATAAGAGTAAATTTCGCAGATCTCCTCAGCTATCCCTAAGGGAGAAGCCAAAGTCTGAAAGAATAGACAAGGCTTCAGCTGTCAGCTATAATTGTCACCGGCCTGGACACTTTGCATGTGAATGCAGATCAAAGAAGACTGTGACGCCATCCTCTAAAGCTCCTTCCTCCTTCAGGACCGTAGATGAGAAGTACTCTAAACTGAAGGAGAAGTACAAGAAGATGAAGAAAAACCAGCACAAGTCTAAAGGTCTTGTTGCT